ATCAAAAATCATTTTTAGCCCAAAAAAAACAAACAGAATATGATAATTTATTTTGTTCATTTATTTTTTTTTTATTGCAGTTGTTAAAAGGCATCAAATGTCCTTACTTAAAGAAGCCCTCATGGAGCCTACATAGCTGACATTCTGTGCTCATTGTCAGACTGTAACGTTAGGGCATTATGTAGACATACCTGTGTACCTCTTTTTATAATTTATTCTGCTTTAACTAACAACGTTGATCATCTGTTTGCAGAGGAAATTGTGAGGCTCCTGACCCCTAGTGGTTCCTTTAGTTTAGTACACTATAAGGAGTTTTGGTTGTTTTACTTTGGAGTCAAAAATAAAAATACTCAGCCCTAAAAAAATAATAATAATAATAAAAAAACATAATCAAAGGAAAATTAAAATAGGGGAGCCTCTGTCCACCAATTTGGCAGTTCTGGAATCAATGGAGGAAATAAGCAGCTCTGTAAATAAAAAGAAGTTTGTTTGTTAATCTATAAAAAAATGAGCATTGGCACAATCTGTTAATTTTAATTATTCATCTAGAGTGGATGGAAAGTTATTAAAGCAACAGGAAACAATATGTGTGAAGATGATGATTATGAACAGTAGTGCTGCATTGCCTGTAGTCTCCACCAGGGGTCAGTATTGGGTCCGATACAAATATAACCTGTGTAAAATGTCATAAGTATTCATATTTTCTGTACAGGTGAGAGCCTAGAGAAGCTTCTAGATTATATCACACCAGAGATGGATAAGCTGAAAAAGTACGTATGAGTTATTTAGTAAATATAATTTCATTGTAAATGGGATAAAGGTGGAACAAGTTAATAAATTCACACCTAAAAACAATTTTTTTAGGTGTGATTAATAAACACAAGATCTGCCGGAAGCCTCACAACCAACATGTATACAAAAAAAACACCATAAAATATCTAGAAAAGTTGTTATATCTATTAAAGCAAAACACATTCTTAAATATAAAACATTACTCATTCCATACCGCCCACAGATTTCCCACTCTCAGCTATTATTTATTAATATAAAAGTCTTGGTTAACACCTAGAGGACATCAATCAAGCTATCATGAGCGCTGCAGAAAAGAGGCATCAATATAATATTTCCACATGAAAAGAATAAGCATTTAAATAAATACTTTGAAAGTATGGAATAAACAGCATTGCGTAAAACAGTTTCCAAGCATGAGATTGTTTAAGAAAAGAGTCAATCTGATTTTATTAAAAGAGTATACGATAGAATGACAGGGGCCATTAATGGCTCCTCATTATACAACACTATATTTACAGTATAATGTACTATATTTGCACTGGCTGTGGTCATGTGGGTTTCAGGTCATAATTGTTTGAATAAAGATGTGCGTATGCATCTGTTAATGTGGAAAAGGTGACAGGAATTAGAAACATTGCTGCAGTCATGGACTACAGGAAGGTGAAGAGGTGAGATCAAAAAAGTTGCATCTCTTCATACCTCTTGTCAGTCCAGCTAACGATGATTTTGCAAATCCATTAATCAATTAATAATCAGCTAGCAAAAGGTTTCTAACTAAACTAATTTTTTTCCTCTTGTGGAGTTCTGCATAGAGCATATTGACAGACTAAAAGGTTTTTTTTATTTATTTCAAATGGAATCTTTTTTTAGATTTTTTTTTTTACATAATTACTAGGGGTGGGACGCGATTAAAATTTTTAATCGCGATTAATCACATGGCTGTGAAATTAATTAATCGAATTAATCGCATTTTAATCGCATACTTGGAAACAGCAGGAAGTAACTTTTTCCACATGGATTTTGAATGACAACACATAAGCTTAATAAACAAAATATTGTTTGTTTATTTTTTTCAAAGAAATATCAACAGGCCAGTGCAAACTTTAAAGTTCAACATATTTAGGAACGCTAAACTCAGAAATTCAGGTAGCTCTATGCTGGTGTAGTGTGGGTTTTTTTCGTCTTCCTCCCAGTTGGGCTAGCTTCCACGCTAGTATCTGCCAAGCTAGCTGCTACATGCTTTGCGTTCAGGTGATATTTGAGGCTTGATACGCTGCGGTGATAGGCGAATTCCTTGTTGCATAATTTACATATGACCGCGCTCTTATCGACTCTTCCCTCCTGCATTTTAAAACAAAAATTCCCCTGCAAAGGACCATCTAAAATGATTTCATCTGCTTCGTCTAATTCTTCCATGGTTGTCTCTCCTAGTTTAAAGCAACTTTCTTCTCTGTTCTTTTTCTT